ATTGTTTGTGCTGAGAAGTCCACTGTGATTCTGATAGGTTTTCCTTTATAAGTTATCTGTCTTTTTTCTCTGACAGCTTTTAATAATCTATTCTTGTGTTGGATTTCTGGGATGGTGATTATTATATGTCTGGGTGTAGTTTTATTTTGGTTATGACTATTTGGATTTCTATATGCTTCACTGATCCTGATGTTGGGGCCTTTTTCATTAATCCCTATCATTCTTATGTTATATTTCTTTGCATCATCTTGCAGTTGTTGAATTGTTGTTTCCTGATTCCTTGTTATTTTTAAAAGATCTTTCCTTTCCTGTTCACTAGCTGCAATCCTGTCTTCAAGGTCTGAAATTCTATCGTCCCTTTCATTAAGGCAGTTTTTACAACTTTCAGTGGAGTTTTTTATTTCCTGTATATCTCTGTGCATCTGCATTATGTATTCTGTTTGTTTCTTATATTGCTCGTCTAGGGAATCTATCCTTTGGTTTAGTTCCTCCAATTTTTTATCTGTGTTTTCTTTAGATATATTCAGAATCTCTTTCTTTTTTTATCATTTCTTCTTTTACCTGGGAGATTATTTCGAGTTTGAATTTCTTTAAATCTTCCTGAAGTTGCTTGTTAATTTCAGTAGCTATTGTGTCTAACATTTGAGGTGAATGGCATATGTTTCCTTCTATATACATTGCTCCTAGGGTTTCTTGAGATGGGCTGGAGGTTTGAGGTTGTAATTTGGTCTTTTTGTCATATTCCTATATTTCTGTGTTTCAAGTGTTATTTGAAAGCTTCCTCAGTGTCTGTTGGTAATCCTCTTCTATGATGCAGCTCCTGAGACTCTGGCACCCTGTTACCCCATGCCACTGGGCCTGCAGAACCAATGGCCCTCCTCTGCCTGTTCAGAACTCTGCAGTTCCAGATAAGCTGGGCCTCAGGGACATTGTGTGCCCACCTGCCCTTTGGAAGCTCCACAGCTCTCCAAGCGCAGCCGGGATGCCGAGGCAGATGTAGACGCCTCAAACCCACCTCTCCACTTCACTGCACCTGGAAGCCTGGAGGGTCCCGAATAGTCTGGCCTTTGGGCAGAGCTGCTGAGCACTCACCACAGGCTGCTGCAGTGCCTCTGGAACCTGCGATCCTCCCTTGCTTGCTGAGATAGCCACAGTCCTCCAGACACACGGGAAGGCTGATGCAGGCGTCCCAGATCCACTCAGCTGCTCCTCTGCACACCCATGGCGAGGTTGATTCATAGTTTTATTTATAAATTTAATATGTAAAAAATATAGAAGTGAGAGCCAAAATACAACCAGGCACCTGTTATAAACTACACTAAAATATTTTAAGAAGGAATTTTACTCAAGAAATCCAATTTACAAGATGCATTCGGAATTCCTTCTCTAGATCTAGCATGTTTAAATCATAAAAGATTTAGTGTAGCAAAAGAGAATACCTTGCATTATCAGTATCAAAATAACTAGAATATTTAGATGATAATTATATTCAAATACATAATTAGTTAATAAATTTAACATTTAAGTATTTGACATAACAAAGAGTTCTTCAAAAATCTAACCTTATCTTTACATGAAATAAGGTATAAATTATTTTAATGTAGAAAAAATGCAAGATAAAATATAAGGTATATTTTGATTAGCTGTCTATTTTGAATAGTTGAATAGAAACTAATAGCAATAATCTTGTGAAACTTGTTATAATGGAAATAATAAATAATCTTTCACTATACAAAAAATTATAAAGATATCTTCCTTCTTTGCTATTTAGAAAATACTCCATTGATATTTAGAAAATGTTCTTTAATGATATTATTATTCAAAGAAAAGAATGTTATTTGATACAGTTGGCCATCCTGTTACATGAAAGAGATACTAAATAACATGCTACTCATAAATAAATTTAAATACATTTTGAAAAGTTTTGTATTTGTAGGTAAATTACTTTTTGAGGATACCTGATATGCATTGATGTAAGTCAATTTCACTAAAAATGTAAGTTTGAACTACACTGTGCATAGCTCTTAGCATGGATTTAACATTTGTAAAAGTTCATAGACAAACCTTCAGAGGATAGCTTCTCCAACCTATGCCAAAAGCATGTTTACTTCAGACAAAAGCAGTAACTATAGAGATTCAGGCCTTAGAAGGAAAGAGTCTGATTCCTTTCTTCTTCTCTAATAATTTGGAATTTCATGATGGCACTATACAGAATCATTTCTATTCGAATAATACAATCCATGTGTCTGTGCTCTGCAATATGATAAAACCTCTGAGACATCAGAGCTAAACGCAAATAATCTTTGTAACTTCTGCATAGTACGTGGCATAAATGTACATGAAAATCTTGCTTGGTAAATAGTTACTGAATTAGAAAAGTACTGCAAAGGATGTTTTCACTTAACTGCACACAAATGTTTTATAAACATGATAGGTGCATTATGCATATATCCATATACTTTTTCTTTTACTCTAATATATCATATGACAGCAATAATATATAATTATCACAATAGAATCAGGAGTAATATGCCTTATGTAATTTCAAGCTGCATCATTTTTGTGCAAGATTTTTAAGTTTTCATATACTAAAATAAAATATGCAGAATTATTTTAGGTGTTTTCTTCAAAAAGTAACACGTGTAAAAATTTCTGAGATAAACAAAGAGTGTCTCCTCTTTGTTTTGTATCTTCTGAAACCGAAGAGCCTCAAATTAACAATACATTATTTCACGGAATTTTGAAAGTTAGTTGCTTAGATACTGAAACATATAAAACTCATATATATATATATATATATATATATATATACATATACACACATACTTATTTATATGTATTTATTATTGTTGTCCTCAGTATGTCTCTAAATTTTATATTAACCAAAAAGGCTTAGGCAATTTGGATTGTTTCAACTACGAACCTAATCTTTTAACCTGATGTTTTGACATGCCTGAGGATCAACTTTCCTTGTATTCCTTTCTCTTATCTTGACCTCAGAGAATGCTAATCACTTCTATAAATGGATTAATTTACTCTTCTACCAAAATAATATACTTAGGGTTTTCTCAAGCTTTGAAACATGCTGAGTATTAAACATTATAATTATTCATTTGTTTCTTCAAAGAAATTAATTGCAGGCTTAGGCTTTCCTCTTCAGCATTTTATATGCAGATGTATGGATACTGTTATTTCTACTGTAAATGAAATTGTAGATTAGATTTGTGTCATATATAACATTTACTTAATAAAAAGTTTAATCATTTCTTAATTGAATTTGGACCACATCTCTTATGAAAAACAATGGTCTAAAAGAATACAAAACAATTCTGAACAATATAGCTGTGACAAATGATACATGAATGCTTTTTTGAATATTGGTATGATTCAAAAGACAAATGCAGATAAATCTACATGGATATTGCATCTGGTTCATTGACTGGCTTATCATTTTGAAAGTGTCACATGTCAGTAGATATATAAACAGTGGCAGAAAATAAAAAAGAAGCATATTTCTTTAAACTGCAGTTGTTTCTAGCTCGCATGAAATAACCATGCAATCATCATGAAACAAACTCTTCTTCATACAAGGTAATTAACCATTAACTCTTCCTCATGGGAAGACAATTGTGTTCCTAAGAAGAGTTTAACAAATACAACACAATAATGCTCAAATAGTTATAGTAATTCCTTTTGCAATCATGTTTTGAAAACACAGTATGTCAAATTCACATAATCTTGTTATAGTCAAAAGTGATGATTATTATATTCCAATTCACCTTTTGAGATGAGTTTTATTAAACAGATATATAATTGATACCATACTGCATTCAGATATATAATTGATAGTTTAAACATTTTCTAAACTTTTTCTATGAAATGTGTTTCTATATTGAGAAATGTTTTTTTCTTTAAAACCTTACCATATGACTACCAACTAGCTATCCAAGAAATACTTAGTATGACAAGCTTGACCTTGGCTTATTTAAAAAAATATTGTGAATAGTAAAAGAACTGTAGTTATAGTGGAGGAAGGAGAGAAATTTAGTTTTAGTCAATTTTTACTGTTACTTTGAAGTACGTGTTTATATTTCAGGTATGGTACTATGGTTTGTAAATAATAATGAATTTTGGAAATGAACTTAAAACTTTTTTCTTCTGTTTCTTCCCCTCTTTCTTCTGTTATAATATTCTTTTAATCTAATTTTAAGAAAAGTTTCTTGGTGCTTTGTACTCATATTGTTTAAAACTCATATTGTTTAAAAAATTTTGCGGTCTACTACCCCCTCCAGCGCTGAACAGAGATACAAGCCGCGCCGCCAAGCCGGAGAGCGCCAGACCGGGTAGAGCTGCGCTGCGCTCGCCCTTCTGCAGCCCTGCGCTCCCGAGAGCCTGGGCCCTGGGGACCCCGGGAGCCCTTTCCAGCTGTGCGCCTAGAGCTCTGGACTTGGGGTGGGTGGTTTCAAAGAGCACCTCTTCCAGCGCGGAAATGGGAAGTGAGGGGGAGTCAAGGTCAGCAGCTGACTCATCTTAAAACGGTCAGCGCTGCAGCTGCAAAATGGGGGTTAAGTGCTTCAGGGACTGAGTGCAGCCACGGAGACGCCGGAGAGCGGCTCGCACCGTCTGGGTGCAGCGCGGGCGCAGCAGAGTCCGAGGTGCCCGCCTTGCAAGCCGCTGCCAACGCCGCGCAGGCGAGGGCTGAGCACTCAGCTCGCAGCTCCCTCGGACCCTTTGCCGCCCCGCGCGGCCGCAGCCCCCGCCGGGCTCTCCTCCCAGCGGCCAGAGGAAAGTTCTCGCTGCCCGCCCCTGTGCTCCGCTGCAGTGCCGCGCCGCCCCGCACAGCGCGCCTCTCAATACAGAGAGGCGCTCGGGCGGCCCGATCTGGCCAGACCACCCGGTCGGCCCCGCCCCCATCCCAGCCGCGAATCGGCCGCCCCGCCCCCTCGGCCCCGCCCCCACACCACAGCCCAAGCTCGCTCCTGCGCGTGCGCTCTCCCGGACCCCTGTGAATAGTCCTCGCGCGGGGGGGTGGGGGGGGGAGAGGCGGTGAGTGCTTTCCCCTCGCCTCCAGCCTCCAGGAGGTTCCCGGCGCCTCAGGCAGCTGCAGCTTCATAGCGGCTGCCACCGCACCTGGGCAGTCTGGACCCTCGTGCCCTGCTCCCGGGGCCTCGTGCGGTGGGCGCCCCGGGACACCCCTGCGGGCCGGGTGGAGGAGGAGAAAGAAGAAGAGGAAGACGTGGACCAGGATCCCCAACCTCCCCACAACACCTGGCCTCTCCGCTTCCACTTCTTTCACACAAGGAGAGAGGAGCCAGCAAGAGCCATGGGGGGCTGCGAAGTCCGAGAATTTCTTTGGCAATTTGGATTCTTTTTGCCTCTGAGGACAGCTTAGCCGGGCTACTGTAGTCAGGTCTCCAACAACCAAGGTAAGGGACAGGGTCAGAAGCGGGAGGGGGAGGAGGACGGTTCTTCGCGCGCTGGTGTGATTTCGGCCTGCTGCGGGCAGCTTGTCTCGGATCAGCTTCTCCAGGGCTCACCTTATATGTGTTCCTTCACCTAAACACTCAGTCTGCACTATCCGGGACGGCGGCCCTAGGAGCTATGATTCGTGTGTGCACAGATTTCTTTGAATGGGTGCATAAGCATCAGCGGCACGTGAGTCCCTTCACGGGCTAAAGGGCAGACAGACTCCTACGCAGCCTCCGCCAGAGGTCAGACTCCAAGGCACACACTTAACGGAGATGCCTGCCTCTGGGCTGCTGCACACAACTGGATAAGATGATAGATTGTCCTTGCTGTACCCTGGGGCGTTTGTCAGCCTGGTGCCTGACTCTGGCTCCCTTGCCTGTTCTCACTCAGCCTTCCTTCCACTCTAGATCACAGAATGTAGACTGCTTTGAAATTATTCCTAGACCAGATGCTCACAGATCTGTGTTGTATTTTCTGTTTTGTGAGAGAGGGAGGTAGGTAAATGTTGAGTGTGAATTTTCCAAGTTGTGAATATCCTAGTCAAAAAGGCAGAGCACTGTCAGATTTTTAAGGACTTTGTTTCCTTGAGTAAAGTGGTGGAGTGCGTGAGGGGAATGGAAAACACAAAATCTTAAAGAATATTTTCTTTCCTTTTATTTACACAATCTTTATAAAACATTGATTTGGATTTCTGTCATGGGTATTTGGATATTTAAAGATCTACAAAAACATCACCTCTATATTCTAAATCTCATTAAATTAGGTATGGAACAACCATAAAAAGTTTTGCAACCTGTTCTTAGTTGGGTGCTCTCACTGCTATGATGACCACCCCTGTCTGTGAGGTTTTCTAAAGGCTTTAAATATAAACACCTGTGGTCAGTTAGAGCTGCCATTTAACATACAGCTCATGTGTTTCAGGGCCTTGAATTAATTTGCAGATGTAAAAGTGGAGGTCAGATTGCTTGGGATTCTATACTGTAGTATTTATGGGAATAGGAGAAGATTGAGAGAGGGAAAGCGAAACAGTATAGATTTTTTTCGTGTCTGTACAACCATATCATTTTTTCTAATATTTTATGTAGAATTCAGAATTGCTGTTCATTTTTCACTTATGCAATTAGTATGCTTTTCCAATTATTATGCACCTGACAGAATGCACCTATAAATGCATGTGTGAATTTGGAAATCATTCATAACCCTTATGATTTTTAAAGCATCCTATAAGATGACCATCGTAGTGTCACACTCCTATAGTGCCGTATATGTTCATATCATGTCCCTTGTTTGTTTTCAAGGATAGTTGGTGTTCATAATCGAAGAGGTAGTTAAAGAAAAGAGGATTATTAAAATAATGTAATTATTTTATTTTTTATGGGAGAAAGTAATTTTTAATACTTGAGACGTCTGACATTTAGATTATTAAGTTTTGTATCATTATGGATGATAAAGTGCTGTATTGTATGATAATCAAGTTTGCTAGAAGCTCTTAACAGTTATTCCCACGTAACAATTTTTCTAATTATTTAGTACCTGTGAAGCTTGAACAGCCACTCTAGGTACTGGATTTATTAATAGGAACACAACATACATGTGAGTCTCCACAAGTGTCATTCCATTGAAATATTAAAGTATCACTTCTCAGGTAGTTATTTTGAATTTAAAAGACAACTAATGCTATTTTTAACTTCTCAGGTAATATTTATCTTTTAATGATTTCTCCATGTAATTTAATAATGTTTTACATAAAACAAATATCAAATATATAGTTTATTTTTATAAAGTAGCTGAAGTTCATGTTGAATGAATAGTGCACGATTTTTCATTACTTGAACCGAATTGTTAAATACTATATAGTAAAGTTTGTAATTTGTATTAACATACTGAAAACATAAGTTTTGCATAGGAGTACACTTGTATAACAGATAACTAAAGGTTAAATTCTGATATTCGGGTTCTGCAAAACAAAATTGTAGAGAAAATATAATCGTATTTTTATTTGTATATTTTTTGTTTGTCTTCATTTCTTGTTTGCACTACCCCCAGGGCCTTCACACTGAGCTATGTCCCCCCCTGCATTATAAAAATAATGTTTCAAGTAAGGCCTCACTATAAAGTGCTTCTTACAACCTAAATTATAGTGGCTAGAAATTGTGCCTGATAAGTGCAGTTAAGTGTTAAATACTGAAGACATCACATAAATGATTAAGTATCAACCTTTTAGTGTTATTCTTATGAACATTATAGGAATATTTTTAAATTTGCAATTTTATGAATACTTAAAATATCAATTTTTGTACATCTGAAACATGGGGTATTATAAAATTTTATATATACAATGTTGAAAGATTAATGTCATGTTTAAGTTAAATTTCTTGCACAAAAATATCACTAATATTATTATTTTCAAAAGGACATTTTCCATGTTTCTACTAACGTTTACTTTTAAAATTTGTTTATGGCGGATAAAATTATTTTATGTGTCTCTTTAAGAACTGTGACAGGTTTTTAGTATTGTGTGTCTAGTTTTATCAAATTAAGTAAAATCGTGGTAGAAAGAGTGTATTAGGCATCTTTACCCTTTTCTTCTAATTCCAGTTTTTATAATTGAGACAGGGTCAAATAAGACAATGAATAAAAAATTGAACTACTCGTTCTTTTAACATGATACTAAGAGTAATGTGACTATAGGAAGGATCTCTTATCTTCCAACTGACTGTAAAGCTGTGTGTTGTATAGTCAAAATAAATCAATTTTACTGTATTACCTGAACCTCCTTGAATCAATCAGAAAGTAATTTTTTTCATAGATCATTTTTCTAAGTGAAAGCATGTGTATTTATATTTCTTATTGCCTTAATTTTCCATATATTTAAAGACACAGTATTAATTAGGTGTCTAACTTATTTAAAACTCAGATTTTATCTCCTCAAAATCTAGAACATTTGATTTCTGTACTGAGTTCTGAGGTATATGAAATACAGTCTTGCTTCATGTGCAAGGCAACTATGAATATACATGTTATAATATTTGGTAGCCACCAGAGGTCCATTTATTAAAAAATTACTCTGCTTTAGCAAAAATATGTTTAACCCAGTTGATGCGTCTCTCAGTGTGTACCCATGTTTATGAAGACAATTACTTTCTTTTTGTCTTTTTGAGACAGGGTCTCGCTGTACAGTTCAGGCTGGCCTTGAGCTTACTTTGTAGCCTGGGCTGGTCTCCAACTCACAGCAATCCTCCTGCCACAGCCTCCTGAGTGCTGGGATTATAGGCATGAGCTGCCATGCCCAGTATGAAGACAATTAATTACATGGGTAATTCATTAAGTCAAGATAGATTTTGAGTGCATAAGTCATGCTATATTTCAACAAATCCTAGCAAGTATCTTATTTGTACCCTTCACTCAGCATTTACTGGGGGTATAAACATGGTGGAGATTGATGTATATATTTCAGTAATCAAAATAGTTTGAATTGGTTCAGTGTACATTGTTAGTAATCAAATTCTACACCCACAGAAAGATTAAATTTCTTATATATCTATAGCTATCTATTAAGCTTATGATTTCAATAGATGTCAATGTTTAAATAGACCTTGAATTGAAATTAAGTTGCATTTGCTCTTGCATTATTTTTTGATGAATGTAAAATTTAGGTAGAGAAAAGTGGTAATGCAGGCAGACATGTTTTGTATCATTATGGAGTACAAAAAGTAAATTAATAAAAAATTATAATGGTTGTTTAAATTCTGTGGATGAGCAGTGACACCCCAAACCAGAATGGGAAAGTTGGAAATGCGTGTGCTTTGGGATGATATTTAGCCTCTTTGTTAGGGAAGAGAAAGAAATAAATCTGAGGAGTAGAAAGATGCACATTGAAAGTAGGAGAAACTCCCTGAGCAGTGGAGAAATGAGATTGAGGTATTTGAAGGATTCGGTCCAGGATAAGTAGAATTTACCAAGCAAAGAGAGAGTTACAGAAAGAGAGATTTGAAAGATAATAATCAGATTCTATGAAGGGGAGGGAGAGAAAAAAACACTAAGGACTTGAGTATTATCCCAAGAAAATATGAGCTGGGAGATATCCATCAATGAGTAAAATGAGCCATTTTACATTTTAAGAACACCAAGACTGGTAAGCAAAGAGATAACTGGGAAAGAGGAGGATGAAGAGTCCTCTGTAGTTAGGAGAGTAGTCATTGTGGCGGCCAGCAAAAATAGCAGATAGATACCTACGCTGTATTTATAGGTAGAATTTATGGGACTATATTGATTCTACAGTGATACTTTGGTTCCCAAGAAAAGCACATGGCAAAATGTTATACATTTGCAAACTGTGCATCAGGTGACAAACGCTATCATGACCATCTTTCCCATACAAACACAACGTGACCATCTTTTATAAAATCATAGAACAACATAAGTTTGTAAACCAAAGCACCACTATAAATGTAGATATTGAATATTCTTTGAATTTTGTTTTTAAGAAACTCAAATAAGTGTTCCATTACTTTAACCATATTATGTAATTTTTGACAATTGACCAGTGTGAAAAGAAATAAGGGAAGCATACCAATGTAACAAATGTGGTGGGCTGCTCTCTCATTTTATTCAGTGTAGATTATCATTTAAAACATAGAATAGCAAAGTTTAGCTATTTCAAACAACATAAGAAACAAAGTCCACTTCTATTGGATCTGCAAGTACAATTTGTTGATATTTTCTGGCACCATGGGATTCGTCATGTAGTTATTGTCAGAGTGAATGATTGCACAAGTAGACAGGGACATCTTTAGAAGATAGTTTAGCAGTCCAGTAGGGTGGTTCAACTGATGAACACCAGTAAGCATTTGAGGGTTTGAGAATACACAAGTTTGACTCATCACGGTTAAAAACTAATTTTATTGGAAACAAAAATTGTAAGCAAAACAATATGAGATATAAAATGTTTTCAGAT